TCAACTCTCTCTATATTTATATTTTAAATAAATCAATAAAAATTCAGTAAATTAAAATAAATAGCTATCATAAATAATAAAACTTCAAAATAAATTGAACAGAATAATAAAAAAAATCACAACCAATAAATGGATCTTACAGAATGTTAAAACCAATTAATGGTTCAAAAAAAAAATATGGTTTCATGTCAAACATGACTTTAGGGCACAATCAAAAGTTATATTAATCATAGATTAAATATTTTTAATATGTTATTAAATTATCAAAATTATATATATATATATATATATCATCATAAATTATCATAAATATTTTAAATGTTTACATATATATTTTGTAATAACACCTATAAATTCATAGAGGAATAAGAGTCTATTGTAATATATGATCAATATATATGTGTGATTAATTTGTTATATATATAATATGCAACTGTGTATATACAAAATTATTATCATACATATATTAATCATAGGTTAAATATGTTATTAAATTATCAAAATTATATATATATATAAAATCATTACTGTCTACATATATATTTTGTATCAACACCTATAAATTCATAGTGGTACGAGGGTTTATTGTAATATATGATCAATACAAATGTGTGATTAATTTATGTTTAATTAAGCTATTATGTTATTAAATTTGTCATGTTGTATATCACTTGATTATATGATATGTTATGTTTATAATTGTCATACTATATTTAATCAAGCTATTATGTTATTAAATTTGTCATGCTATATATCATTTGATTATACAATATGTTATGTTCATCAATTTATCATACTATATTTAATTAAGCTATTATGTTATTAAATTTGTCATGTTATACATCACTTGATTATACAATATGTTATGTTAATCAATTTATCATACTACATTTATTATTTATTAATTGAAATGCTATCTCATAATATTTAATTATTGATTATATTTAGAAAAATATGAAACTATTATATTATTAGATTTGTTATGTTATATATCACTTGATTATATAATCTATCGTATTATTAAATTTGTCATGCTATGTATCAAAATAATTTATTATTTTTTAATTAAAATTCTATATACTTATATATTAAATTATTGATGACATTTGAAAAAAAAAATCCAAACATATTATATATATAAGAAAAACAAGAGCATCATAATATTTTATTATTGATTACTATTAAAAAAAATTCATCGGAAGTCCAAACTAAACCAAACATAATATAAAAATAAAAAAATATAAATATATATAACAATATATACCATGTTTTTTGAAAATATATAAAAAAATAAGGGAATAGATTATTCACGAATGAATGAATTAGTCGAACGTAGTATGTTCACGATTATAATCAAACGAACACCTCATGTTCAAACTCGAATCGAACATATTATCGAACGAACATCAAATTGTTAGCGAACAGTTTATTATCGAGTCGAATCAAACACATTATCGAACAAACATCGAACTGTTCACAAACAACTCAAATCGTTTGTAGCCCTAAATTAAATCCCCACTTAGTAATGATTTTACCCTTTTACCCTTTTACCCTTGCTGGTTATATTACCCACCAACACATATAAATAAATAATCAAGAATAAATAGAAAAAGGTTTCTTCATAAACATGCGGGGGGACATTTAATTTATTTATTCTATCAATTCTTTAAATAATTAAATAGGTAAATAAACAATTTATTAATTATTATTATTTTTATGTAAAATAATAAAATTTATTATTTATTTATTCTATTAATTCTTTAAATAATTCGCAGAAACTGCTTTTTCCCTCATTTTGCTTCGCTTAATTTTCAGGCCACCATCAGATGCCACATATATTATAATTTTACACCACGCAATGTTCTATAACAAATTTCCAACAAATTTAATTATAAGCTTATTATAAGAACCTAAAATTATTATTTAACGTCTAACACCTGTCACCATATAAGAAATAAATATAAAGCTATAGTAGTCGCCAACGTGTTCACCGGCAATATGGTGGAGATCCAACTGAAGCTGGAGCCATTGTAGGACTGCTTGGGATCACCAAGACGCATTATGTTATCCCCTGCAGCATCGTCTTCTGTCTTGTCCTTCTTGCTTCTCCCTCTACCACATCTTTCTTTCTCTACCAGTAATTTGAGCTCGTTAACTGTTCTTTGAAGCTCTTTGATGTACTCAATAGCATCTCTCACAATTGAGACTCTTATCGAACTTTGTTATATGTGTAAAATTATTATATTAGCAGCTGGTATGATATAATATAAACATTACCATGAAATTAAAAAGAAGCAGAATCGTGTACCTTGGTAGGGTTAGGAACCAAATTCCTCAAGGCCGTGTACTTATTATTCAACTATTCTCTCCTTTGTCGCTCCGCAGCAAAGTTCTTATTGCTGTTTTCCACAGTTTGAGGAAACCCAGAATCTGCACCCTCTGCCATGGAGTCTAATCTCTGCATGAGAAAAACAATAAATGTGAGCAGAATAAATTTCACAAAAAGTAACTACAGGTTATGGATAAAACTTTAACCTTAGAAAATTGAAATAAGTAGTACTGGAAGCACAGAATTGTACGAGATCCTCCTATCAAACTGAAATGTTGCAAGAGCTAGTCTTAAAAGGAAAGAATGAATGTCTTTTCTCTCACTGTTATAGAGAAGGAGTGTTTGGAATATTAATGCAAAAGACATATGAACAGAATTACATATAAGAAAAGAGGAAGGGAATGGCATACTTGTAATTTAAGTATTCACACCATTTGTGCCAAAGTGTGTTGGTTTAGGTCACCCTACCAGTGTGTGTAAAGTGTGAACCCCACCATCTCCATGCAAACCGCCCTCTCAAACTAACTATCATAACCGTTTAGCCTTCAACAACCACAAAGATCACCAAGTGTAAGAATCGTATTAATTTTTAATTTTTTTTTTTTTTTAAACTTTTGCTTATAATTGAGTCATACAAATAGACAAAAATAAGATAAAATTCATGTAAAATAACTACTTTATCATTTATTTTTTGTCTGTTTGTATGACTTAGTTATAAGTATAACATTTTTTTTTAGTGTTCAGATAAGTTTGCACATCCCTTAATAAATCTCCGAGGGCCTAGAACTTCACATCTAGTAATTAACCAGTTAGGAAAACAAGATATGAGAACACATTAAAACCTAATTCTCCATGAAAGAAGGCAGTTCCCTCCACCAATCACTTTTCACAACATAAAACACCAACACAGATATCTAGATATATACTAACTAATATTTCATCAAGTTATAGCTAACCGTTTATATCTTTTTTCTGGATAGTCTTCTCATCAGACATATTGGTCCAATCTTTCTTTTTGCCAAAGTAAAATTATAGTAGAGACAAATAAAGATAACCGTTATACGATATTTTTGTACTTACTACTTAGTCGGAATTCGCATATATTAGCCCACATTAAAGTAACTATTTTCTTTACCTTGCTTGCAAAATTTAAGACAATGGGAATGAGAGTAGGAAAAGGAATGAGAATTGGAATTAAAATGGACATGGTAGTACCAATGGAAATGGGAATCAAAATGGTATTGAGCAGTTCTGAAAACCGGATCGGGAGCCGACCCGGCCAAATGGCTGGTTCCTGGTTCGAACGGTTTGACCGGTCGGTCTGACCGCATGCTGACGTCCAGCATGATGTCATACTGACATCAGCATGATGAAATAGGCAAAAACATAAAAAAGGCAAAAAATTCAGATTCTCCATCTAATTAAAGTTTAAAAACCATCAAAAGCAACCCTACAACAATAATTTCTCCATCTAATTAAAGTTTAAAAACCATCAAACCAACCCTACAACAATAATAAAACCATCAAAGTTTGATAGTTAAAGTTTACAAATTCAATCCTCAAGTCTAAAGTAAACTCTAAAGTTTCAAACAACATTAAAGGCATTACAAAATAATATCAATTATCAAATATGAATCCACCAACGGCCAACCATCAAAATTACAAAATATCAAAATACCTACCAATCCACCAACCAACATATAAAATTACACAATATCAATCCATTTCACCAACCCAACCACAAACAAATTCATTAGTATCTCACGGTAAGTGAAGGGAAAAAGGAGAAACCAAACAGATTCTTCAACAGGTCAACCCATCCTAAATTGATTATCCACATCATCATCCGAGTCATCATCATTATCATCACCATCAACTACAAATTTAGCAAAAATTAAAAACATAAGTTAAAATTTATAATGTACATTATTTTTTGATATTATAAATTATAATAGTTACCAAGTTGGTTAAAAGTTAGAAAACAACCTTGTGAACCACCTGCTGAATCATAATAGGGTTGGCCATCAACACCGATAGGAATAGATCCTTCTTCGTAAAGTGCTTGCTCCAATTCATCTAAATTGAAGTCATCACCCTCCTGTTCATCATCAGCAATCCAAAATTCTGTTCTGTCAATGCTTTCATAATCGATAGGATCGCAACTGCTTTTCTTGTAACACATCCTGAAAGACACGCCAAATAAAAATATCACTAAAAATACGAGATAATAAAAATATTAAAACTGCCAATGCTTTATACCTATTTTTCAAACGCAAGTTATAATGGATAAAAATCAAATCATTCAACCGTTGGTGCTCCAATCTATTCCTTCTTTTTGTATGGATACGTTCGAAAACACTCCAATTTCGCTTACATCCCGAAGAGGTTGAAGTTTGGCTCAGAATCTTAATTGCAAACTCTTGTAACTGTGGAGAACTATACCCATATGTCCTCCACCATTCATCTAATTTAAAGTTAAGAATGTTAACCATATGAAATAATCAAATAAACAAATTCATAACTTAGAAATTGGACTTAAAATTGAGAAATTTAATCAGTATCACATACCAGGTCGTGTGGTTCTGCAAGTTTGAAGGGCAAGCTCACGAGAAAAGCTTTCCTCGCGATCTCGATATATTTTACTTTCGTCCACTATCCTTGTCTTGTTCAACTAAAATGCACTTGCTTTATTGTCGACAACATCAAGGAAACCACGCATAACCTCTGGTTTCCTAGAGAAAGTTGCACGGTCATACTGAAAAGCCGGATTCAAATAATAAGCAGTAGCATGAATGTTGCGGTGCAAAAGCATATCCCACCGCTGCTTAATAATTTTGGTATAAGGCTTGTACAATGTCTTTCTCTTTCTAAAGAACTTCTTGATCGCTTTTTTGGCTCTGTACATGCCATCATACACGTATCCTATTGCAGGTCTCTCATCTGAGTCCACAATTCACAACAAACGCATCAAAGGAGCCACAATTTTGGAAATGTAACTCATGTTATCCCAAAATTCATTATCTAGAATTATGGGAACAACATTCTTGCCTTTACTACTTCTAGCATATTGAGAATCCACAAAAAACCTATCAGTCATCATAGCTTGCAAGTCATGTTTGTGCTCATGTAGACTTCTCAATGCAATAAAAGTAGTAGCAAACCGAGTTGCACCCGATCGTATGATTTCTCTCCAATCTTGTTCAAGTGATATATACAATACATAATAGATGTTAGTAAATTATTACAAAATGTTTATTATGTAATAAATTGACGAAAACATGAGTTAAAGGTTTATAAGCTATTACCTCTCTTTCCCTCAACCAAGCTATCAAAATTGTGTGATTATACACAAACTTGGTTACTTCAGAAGCACGTTGTGCAAGATGCACTATGTGGTCCAACTCAGATATATCTTTCAAAATTAAATTTAAGCAATGGGCTGCACAGGGTGACCAAGTAATATTCTCATACTTGTCCGACAACATTCTTCCAGCAGCTTTATAATTTGCTCCATTATCCGTGACAACATGGACAATATTGTTTGGTCCAACCCATAAAGCCATTTCCTTAAACAACTTGAATAATGTAAAGGCATCCTTTACAACATCTGAAGCATCCACTGATTTTATAAAGCAAACACCTTTAGGACAGTAAACAAGAAAATTAATCAATGATCTATGGCAAGTATCAGTCCAACCATCAGCCATTAATGTACAACCAACCTCTTGCCAAATCGTCTTATAATTGTCAACAATTAATTGGACTTCCTTCTTAGCATCTCTCAACAAATTCACACACATAGAATCATAAGTAGGTTGTTTATACCCAGGGCCAATTGCAGCTACAACATCCAACATAGGCTGAAAATAAATTGAATTTAAAGCATTCATCGGGATGCAAGCATCATAAAAGAATCGTGCAACTGACACGTCTGCTCTCCACTTTGCATCTTTTCCAACCAAAACACTCCTAATTGAAGGCTGAGACCCAGAAGTAGTTCGTGGAGCAAAATAATTACTAACCCCCGTAGTTTTCTTTCTCTTACTGCTCGTAAATTGTTTTTTACCGCCACTACTACCACCTTCATTCATGGTCATTTGTGATGGGAAAACCTCTTCATTTTCTTCATCTAACCGATCACCCTCCAAGTCATGTACTGCAGCACCAAAAGGAGTTGCATGCTTCCGAAAATCTTCTTTTTTCTTATTTTTTACTCCTATTTCTTTCAGTGATTCATTCATATTGAATCTAACATCAAATGGAACCTTCGGACACTTTCGAATATCCCCTTGTACTCCTGCTAGGTGTTGCTTCATTCTGAAAATACCACCACCTCTAGTAACCTTGCCACAATGAAGACAAGATAATATTTTCTTTCCATCTTTATCAACACTCTCAAGAACATGTCCCCATGCTATATCGGTCTTTCCTTGAAAAGATTGCGAGGAAATGGACGCGGCTGATGAGTTACGTGCAGACGAAGATGATGAAATTCTCTCCACTGGCAAGTGGCAACCAACAATCAGTTTGTTATAATTTATAAAATATAACTTTAAATCAATTTGTTTTTCAATTAAGAACATTTCATGCTACTCAATGGAAGAACCAAGCAAATTGATAAGTCAAAACCAAAAACCTGTGAATCACAACATGAATAAACTCCCCCTTTCAATTACTCTTTACTGTAATAAACTAATAAAGTAATAATAATGCTTCACGAGTTCACGGTGCAAGCAAGTAAGCAACTTCCACAGATCAGAATTTCACCATCAATTTCTAATTTCCCAGGAGAAATTGACAGATTCACTGATTCACAATTTCACATTTCACATTTCACAATTTCACATTTCACAATTTCACATCACATTACAATAAGTCAATAATACAATATCATGTTCATGGATCAATTCAAATTTCAAAACCAAAACAAGGGGCGAATTTACATTTTACACAATCTACATCATAAATGAAAAAGCCAGCCACTAACATGCAGGTTCATAAATCTGTAAGCCACTAACATGGTTCATAAATCTGTACATAAAGCATAGAAGACAGAGAAAAATAAGAATCTGTAGATTGTTACTTGGTCACGGCAAATGGCAGCTCGTAGATGGCTGCACCTCCAGATCAGCAATGGCGATGGTGATGATTGAAGATTTCACATTGAAGAGTGGAAGTTGAAGAATGAAGAGTTGCAGGCAACAGACCAACCACGGCAAGGAAGACCGAAGAAGCGCTAAAGCAGAGTAGAGCAGATTGCAGACCGAAGACTTGAAGACTGAAGAGTGAAGACGTGAGGCTGAATAGCTGAAGCTTAGTTGAAAGCTTGAAGGAGATCTAACTTCTGAGTTCTGAGATCGCAAATGGAGATCACGAAGAGGAGGACTAGACTGAAGTGTAGAGGAGATCGCGAATGGCAGTAGCAACTAGCAAACCAAGATGAAAAAGTGATAGACTGGAAAGTGGAGGAGATCGCGAATGTTACTGCAAACCAAGATGAAAAACTGATAGACTGGAGAGTGGAGGAGATCGCGAATGGCAGACTGGCAGTAGCAATCCAAGATGAAAAACTGAAAAACTGAAGAAGGGGCAAGAGCGCAAGACGGCTCTGTATCTGATCTATAGCTCAAAACTCAAAAGCAAATTGAAAATTAAATTTGTTAAAAATTTTGAGGGTTTGGTCTGACACTTTGACTTTGTGTGTGCGGCTGTGAGCACTTTTTAATTTTAAATTTTTTTTTTTCTTATTTCATCAATTTCATGTGTTAAACCGGATGGAGGTGTGGAATGGAAATCTGTTTAATATCGGTTGGACCGTCGGTTTGCTACAATGCTACGGTCCAACCGAGGTTTGAAATGGTTTGACTGTAAATCCCGGTTATTTGCTCTCTTTAAACTGGAAATGCAAGCGGGTGGCGGTTGGACTGGTTCGACCGCCCGGTCCGGTCCCGGTTTCAAAACCTTGGTATTGAGAATGGGATGGAAATGGAATAGGAATCAAATCGGGAATTGAAAAAGGAATGGAATGGCATTGGGAATCAGGACTGGGACTACGAAAGGCATTGGGAATGGAAATCCAAATGGTATCGAGAACGGAAATGGGAATGGTATTGGGAAAGGGAAATGGGAATTTGAATTGGAATGAGAATAGAAAAGGCTCTATTTTGTTCATTATTGGGTAGTTTTTAGAATAATCTTTTGAAAAAAGTTAAATTGGGTGAGTATTACGATGTAGAATTTTGAAAATTAACATAAATATCCCCTATATTTATTTATTTACAAACAACCCTATAATAAAATATTCAAAGTTAACAAAAACACCCCTAATCCACTCATAAATACGGACAGCCGACCACTACCGCCGGAGGGTGGCAGGAGTTGCCGTATCAGCGTATGACCGGTTGGATCTTGTCGGTAGTGCGTCCATATGGCCGAAAAGGCTAGATCTGTGGCTAGATCTGGCCGTCAACGGCCAGATCTGACCACATTTAGTCGTCAACTACGACCATATCTTGGTCGTCGTTGACGACTGTCAATAGCTAAAGATCTAGCCATTGATGGCCAGATCTTTGGCCGTAAAAGGCTAGATCGACGCATTACCGGCCAGATTCAGTCGGTAGTGCACCATTACACCAAATTTCAATCAGCTTTCGACGGTGGTGGCCGGAATCTAGTAAATTTGGGTTATTGGGGTGTTTTTGTCAATTTTTAAATTTTGTTTTGGGGGTTGTTAGTTAAATTAACAAACTTAGGGGTTTAAAGGAATTAAATAATTTAGAATTGTATTTTGAAAATAGGTGAACCAAACACCAATTTTGTGTTAACTTTATTGGGAAATCTAGTTAACTTTTCCTAATATATGTACCAAATGGAACCTCCAAATGGTATTGAGAATGGAAAGGGGAATCGACATTGCAATGAGCAGGGAATATGAAAGGTATAGCGAATGGGAATCCAAAAGATATTGAGAATGGAAATGGAAATGGGCAAATAAATGGACATTGGAATGGGAATGGAAATAGGAAAGGAATTGGCAATAGGAATATGTAATTAAAGGTTGTGGAATGGGAATGGGAATGGGAACTGAAACGGTGATGGAATTGGAATAAGAATGGTATTGTAAACGGAAGTAGGAAGAGGAAAGCGAATGGCAGTAAGAATGGAAGGGGAATGCCAATGACAATGACAAAGGCAATGGGAAAAACGATATTTTCGTTCTTAGTTAGAGTTTGGAGTTATTGTCCTACATTAAAGTAGCCATTTCTTTACTTTGATTGCAAAATTCAAAGACAATGGGAATGGGAGTAGAAAATGGAATGGGAATGGGAGTAGAGAAAGGAAATAGGAATTGGAATTAGATATTAGAATGGACATGGTAACACCAATGGGAATGGTAAAAAAAATATTATATTTAAAACTAAAATATTGATTTCATAACGTTATATCAGACTTGACTCCTAAAATTATTATAGACTTGACTTGAGTTTGTCTATTTAACAATGATTCTACTAGACTAAGCCAATTAAAAATGTTACATGATGTATGTTAGTAAGAAGTGAAAAAGGTTAATATTATTGAATTACTATAGGCTAGGCCAACAAAAAAAAAAAAAAAAAAAAAAAAAAAAAAAGGGCAATACATGTAGACCGTAGAGCACCCAGTGAACAGACTTTTTTACAACGTTACAAAGAATCCCATCACGTGGGGTGTCGCTATCCTCAGAATCCCCAATTCAAGCTACGTCTGCACTCTTTCTTCTCCCCTGCCAAACGAGTGAAAAAACGAAGTACAAAGATCGATATCTCGGCCCGCCGACGTTACATATACGAAACGACGTAGTTTAAGTAAATGAAAGAATGAACGAATTGAAGTAGCCGAACTTGAAGAAAAGGAAGAAGCGAACGACGAAGATTTTGAGAATGAAAATGAAAACGCGACGGCGAAGAAGAAGAAGGAGAAGACGAAGAGTATGTGTTCAGGTTCAACAGCGGATGAATCCGTTGGATTTGACGGAAAATAATTCGTCCGGTCTCCAAACTTACCAGCAATTCGAACGGTCGAGTACGAAGCCTAGCCGAACGCAAGCGCAAACGAAAACGCCAAGATGAGACTAATACTACTACTCAGAGGTGTTAAAATTTTGATTTTTCATAATAATTTGAAGTGATTGATTTTTTTTTTTTTTTTTTTTTTTTTTTTGATGAGATGATTGTAGTGAAGACAATGTAGGCGGAATGAGTATGGATGAGTTCATGGAAACCTTCAATTTCGGTTATTTTCGAAGAAAATCAAGAAAGGTATTTTTTTTTTTTTTATTTGTAAGTAAATGAGGTTTGACTGAATCATAAAGTTGAAGGATGTTTTGAGATAATTCTATGAATCACAAGTCTTGTATTGAATTTCTTGTTCCTAGTGATTTGTATTTGATGGTAGTTGATAATACATAGGATAAAAGATGCTTCAAATACAACTGGAAAATTGAGAGGCTGTTCACAAAAATGTAAAGCGAACCTTCAAGGAGGTTAATCGAATAATTCCAAATAAATAGGTATTTATTTGTTAATCTTTATTTTTGCAGCTCAATAAGAAAAGAGGTAGGAGAAAAGGTTCAAAGAATAAACATAGTCCTGAAGTTACAAAATGCTTGGTGAAGCTACTCTTCACTATGCTCATGGTCGTTTTGAGCAGGATACATTATGAAGCTCTGTGATTTTTCTTGTTTTTATGATTTCAAGAAGGTGTTTGCTTTTTAGATTAATTTTGCATTTTTAGGCTGTATAGGTTGAATAAAGTATTTTTTGGTCCTAATTTGCCTGATTCGTACCATACGCTGGACTTATTCATGACACTCTCGGTGACAAAAATAAAGCCTGTCATTTCTACGTTGTTGCTGCAATTCTTTCACCGAAAGATTCATCTTTGTGGAAAGAACTTCTTGTTTGGTCTTTGTAAGTATCTCATGTTCATTACATTATTCTAATAAGTACATGTACATCCAGCACGTTATGATTGTAATCAGATTGTTGACTCATACTAAAATGCAGAGAAAAGGGAAACACAGGTCTAGCCAGGTATGCCTTGATAAAGCATAAAAGCAGATCCTAAAGATATTAGTCTAAGATTTTATATTGCCTCATTTTATGTTGAGCTTGGAGATTTTGAGGAGCTGCCGAGTCATATGAACAAATAACAAACTGTGTCCTGATGATATTGAAGCTCTCAAAACAGGGGCAAAGGTTTTACTTTCATCTTGTTTACTAAATGCCTTCTTTGATTCAGTAGTGTATTTTAATTTGTTCTAAAGCTACCTGAGAGC